AGACTTGTGATGTGAGGAGGAGCCTGTGTGAGCGGTGAGTGTTGGAAATATGTCGACTTTGAAGCTAGTTTTGGTGATTTGTTATGGGTTAGCTGCTGTAGCTCCCGCACATAAACAGGCTGTTTTCTATTGGTCTGTTCTAAAGTGACTACATTGGCCGTATATTTGTTACTGGACCTGCATTGATATGTAAATGAGCTGTGAATAGACGTGTGAATTATGACATTTGCGCATATAATTAATTACCGCGGCGCGCACGTATTTACGGCTAAAGGCTAATAGCGCTAGTTTCTTTACTAGTTATGGGTCGGTCGCGAACGAAATGACTCTTAGATCCGGCTCTTTGAAGCGAACGACGGGAGACTGATCCTTATTGGGAGTCGTGTTTTCTCTTTCTCTCACTTTTTTTTGTCGTCACGCCGCGTGCAGACTCGTGGTAGTTTGACAGTGGCTGAAAACGAAACTTTGAGAAATTTGCGTGTACATAGGATTAAAAGCATATTTGGCTGTAGTTTAGCATAAAATAAATAAGTCCCGGGTTTAGTCCTTTTTCAGTCTTGGTTTAGACCTGGTTCAGTCCTGATTCAGTCCTGCTTTAGACCTGCTTGCAACAAAACAATCTGAAGAGCCGCTTGGGAGCCAAAAGAACCAGCAGCTTTTAGTGAGCCGAGCCAAAAGAGCCGGTTCTCTAAAAAGAACTGGAATACCCATCACTAATGTCTAGAATGTGATGCAAAAATGCCATTAAGCCAACCTACTGTCTGTAAATATGACGTAAAGAGGCAGAATAACAATAAATGTTGCCTAAATAAACCCAATTTAAAATCCACCAGAGCCAAACCTAAGTTTTTTAAACAATTCAACATTTACAGTGAATTTTTACATCACTAAATATATCGGCGATTATATCGGCTATCGGCAGCGCCAACTCCCATTATATTGGTTTCATATCGGCTATAGCAAAATCCATATCGGTCGGGCTCTAGTATGTGTGTATGTATGTATGTGTGTATGTATGTATGTATGTGTGTGTATGTATGTATGCATGTGTGTATGTGTATATATGTATGTATATGTATGTGTGTATGTATGTATGTATGTGTGTGTGTTTATGTGTACGTATGTGTGTATGTATGCATGTGTGTGTATGTGTGTACGTATGTGTGTATGCGTGTGTGTGTGTATGTGTGTACGTATGTGTGTATGTATGCATGTGTGTGTGTGTATGTATGTATGTATGTGTGTATATATGTATGTATGTGTGTGTATGTATGTATGTATGCGTGTATGTGTATATAAGTATGTATGTGTGTATATATGTATGTGTGTGTGTGTGTATGTGTGTACATATGTGTGTATGTTTGTATGTGTGTACGTGTGTATGCATGTATATATGTATGTATGTGTGTGTACGTGTGTATGCATGTATATATGTATGTATGTGTGTTTGTATGTATGTATGTATGTGTGTATATGTATATGTGTATGTATATATGTGTGTATGTATGTATGTATGTATGTGTGTATGTATGTATGTGTGTGTGTATGTGTGTGTATGTGTACGTATGTATGTGTGTATATGTGTGTATGTGTGTATATATGTGTATATGTAAGTATGTATGTATATATATGTATGTGTGTATGTATATGTGTGTATATCTGTATGTATGTGTGTACGTGTGTATATATGTATCTCTATATGTGTGTATGTATGTATGTATGCATGTGTGTATTTATGTATATGTGTATGTATAAACGTGTGTATGTATGTATGTGTGTGCATGTATGTGTGTATGTATGCATGTGTGTATGTATGTATGTGTGTACGTATGTATGTGTGTACGTATGTATATGTGTGTATGTGTGTATATATGTGCGTATGTATGTATATATGTATGTGTGTATGTATTGTATGTATGTATGTATGTATATGTGTGTATATCTGTATGTATGTGTGTATGTATGTATGTATTTATGTATGTGTGTGTATGTATGTACGTATGTGTGTATGTATGCATGTGTGTGTGTGTGTGTGTACGTATGTGTGTGTATATGTGTATGTGTGTGTATATATGTATGTATGCATGCGTATATGTATGTATGTGCGTATGTATGTGTGTATGTATGTGTGTGTCTATATGTGTATGTGTGTATATATGTATGTATGTATGCATGTATGTATGTATGTGTATGTATGTATATGTGTGTATGTATGTATGTGTGTGTGTATGTGTACACACACACTACACTATACCATACACTATACTATGTGTGTATATGTATTCAGTCCACTATATATTGTACTGTATATGTATATATGTATGTATTGTGTAGTGAAAGTTGGATGTATTGGAGAGTCAGTTGCCTGGATTTTAGTGTAAATAATAATAATAAATGCAACTGTAAATATGTGAAATAAGTACAAAATATATTCACACATACCTAAAAATACATCTAAACACACACACCTTCACCCTGTTCAAATTTCATTTGTTTATCTGCCTTAGACGCAGACACACAGGAACAGACGGCTGTATGGATGTGTTCTCTCTCTATGAGTAATAATGGCAAACATACACCGCCTACAGTCATTTGCATTTGCAGGCACAGGTATTTGGGCGTCTTCCAGAACGAGCATTCTCCACACAGCCTATCATTGCCTATGAATGTTCCTTCATTCTCAAAATCATTTTAGCCTAAATACCTACAGGCATCACGGTATGAGCAGACACCCGTGCAGGTCATGTGCCTTCTCAAGCCAGAAGGACCATTAACTTCTGCTGGATGTTATGAACAACAATAAAGCACGCGGGCATATGACTCCTATTGTGCCACATAAGCAGACACTCACATGGACACAAGTATCATCAGCTTTTAAACATGTCATGACTGCTACAGCAGTCTAACAAAAAAGTTCGGAACAACTGTAATTCCTAATCTAGGCTACTGAGTCAGCCCTTTCTAACAAAAACGGGAAGTGAAATGTGAGAACCTTTTGCATGCTTTTCCTTTACACTTCACAGAACTTAAATGAAAGAAAAAGTGAATTACACACTCACATTCAGTGCGTCTGGAGTCTTAATTCGGCCTATTAAAACTGCCACCCTATTTTTCTTGCGCACTTACCTTGTGTTGACGCGGTTCCAGTTATGTTCAGCCTCATAAATAGCGGCAGAATTTTGCGGACATGACGCTCAGCTGGTCGTGCAGTTGTGCGCGGACAGACGCGGTTTGACTGAGCTACTGGTGATGCTCATGTGACCCCGTGCGTCACGCCTATTCCATCATGCGCTCCGTATTCAGCAAAAGTATCAGGCTATGGATGGAAATTTCATAAACACTCACTGGTGCCATTTTAGAACAAAAGAAAAAAGTATTAAAACATCTAAGTCCAAGCTAAATCGTGCATGTTTTAGGATCTTAAATGAGTTTGTTGAGCAACTTTCATTCAAGCTTTTGTGCCATCAAATTTATTCTTGCATTTATGTTGGAATGCTGTTTCCTGATCAAAAACATACCCCAGAGTCTTATTTTGTTTCATTCACACAAATACTGCATATTTTGGATGAGTTCAAGAAGTGCTTCACTGTGTTTTTAAAGTCCTTACACTTTCACTATAAATTCAGCACTGGACTTGCCATTCTCTAGTGAACAAAAGGTAAAATATAGTTAACTTGAAAACTACACTGTTTCGTGACATTAAAATGTGAATTAGAGCATTTTGAGGTTTTGGAGATCTAGACAGATGTACTCAAACATGTGTGAATGAAACAAATAACAAATCAATCACACACCAGATAGATTCAAAACAACATTATTATTAAAATTCTGTATAATTTAAGCCATCTAGTTTTGTTCATGCTTTACTGAGGCTATTAAAAGTGCAGTATGGTCTTGAGGCGTCCCAGTATGTGAATGTGGAGAGCATGCTGCTACAGACAGTGACGCTGAGCAGTGGAGTGCTGTGGCAGGCCTCTGTGACTGATGGGTGAAATCTGCTTTTTCACACCAACCCCCGAATAGTCTCCAGACAGAACAGCCACTGTAGATACTGCTATCTTGCTTGATGGATGAGCCCTATTGACCTATCTGGATGTGAAAAAATATTACACACATTAACTAAATAATAATTAAAACAATAATTAAACAATTTGATACACCCTAATGTTACGTCACTTATTACACAACTGTATTGCTTAGTTAAAGGTCCTAAATTATGCAAAATGGACTCTTGTGAGCTTTCAGCCATGTTAGAATGTTATTAAAAACATACCTGGAGTTGTGTTTTGGTTCATTTACACATGTTTGATTATTTATTTTTATTATACGTCTGTCTCCCAATGCTCAAAATGCCACCTTGTGATGTCATGAAACAAGTTAACAGCTATATTTTACCATCAGTAGAGATTGGAAATCCCAGGGCTAAAATCATCCACATGATTCTATTGATTTATGTTAAAATGCTCTATGGAGTTTAAAGCACAATGGAGCACTTCCTGTATTACCACATGACATTGTGTGGTGGAACAGATTGTTTTCTGTTTGAGAGAAGAACTCAGCCTAAATATTCAAGGTTTGTGAATGAAACAAAACACAACTCCAGGTATGTTTGTGATGAAGCAACAACATTAGAACAGAACACAGCGCAAAGTTGGCCCTTTAATACAAGTCAGTGTGACAACTTATTAGTAGCAGCACAAGCATATCCAGATGCTGATTACTGTCTCACATGCTAGCTGTTTGCTTGGGTCACATGCCTGCCTCACTCTGCTGCACCAATAATCTAGAAGTTCCCTCACCATTACCAGTGAGTAAAGTTCTGTAAATGTATTTATTTTGCATTTTATTTAGTTAGTGTGGTGATTATGGTGGCACAAACACGGGATCATATGGAAGTCAAACACTGGATCATATGGAAGTCAAATGCTACACATTCTTTGCTGGTCACATGAGTTCTTCAGTTTACAGTTCTTCCACTAAATTCAAACAGTTCAGGAATCTTGAGTAGTATATAGGAAGCGGGTGCCTAAATACACTTGACAACATTATTAAGTGTACAAATTACACTTGAGAATTCATTTAATTTCGCAGCTGATCCAGCCTTTGTTTCTCTTTCTTCCACTATAACCATAAATCTCTTCAGTATTTTGTGTAGGCTCCATATTTCTACCAATTAAAGATCCTATATTACACAAAATTGACTCTTGCCAGCTTTAAGCCATGTGAGAATGTTGTTACTTTAATCAAAACCTACCTAGAGTCGTTTTGTTTCATTCACACATGTATGTCTACATTTCCAAAGCAACTTGCAGCAGAAGTTTTTAAGTTTTACCTTTTCTTTAGTAGAAATAGGAAATTCCAGAACTGAAAATATCCAAATGATTTCAGCCAAGGCGTATGAAAGAACTCATAAATAAATATATATGCAGGATTTGAGGGTTAAACGTGTGAATGAAACAAAACAGAACTCCAGGTGAGGAGATGATGAAACATTATAATATAGATTAAAAATAATAGCACAATGTGGGCCCTTTAACTAGAAAACATCTGCTGCGTTATCATGGGCTAAATGTATTACCAAATCATATTCAAATATTAGCCTAGAAATAAGCAGCCCTGTTTTCCATAGATTTTACTACCACCTATTGGCCACACTGCAGATAAGATGCTCAAGTAACCTGGCTTGTCTACTTTTGTTGTACCACTTTACAATAACTACACTTTAGTTAGCCTCAATAAATCATGAACATAGACATAATTCACCATGAACAAATAATTTATTAAGACTTAAATAGTAAGTAATTAAAACTTTAGTAACTTTAATATCATTGGCACTATGTAACTTTTCTGGTGACTGGTCTCCCATGTTACTGCTTTGCCTTAAATGAGTCACAATATTGCATTAAACTCATCTATTTTCAGTTGAGACAAGGTGAAAGCAACCTAGCTTACAGTAAGAATGCATGTTTTCAATGTATTTTTTTTTTTAGCTATAAAACACTTGTAATTGAATAAATGCAAGTTGCCTAGAATGAGACAAGTAGGCAGCAGATCCCTCAGCAGAAAATTTACATAATACACCTTTAAGGGGATAGTGTAATCATTATGTAGCATGTTTAATAAACTGTGTTTGTTCATGCTTTAGGCTGTTAAGTGTAGTTATTATAAAGTATTACCATAAACCCACAAAAATGCATATAAAAAAAATCACTTTCAAAATTAATAACATAATTTGAAAGGACATTTATTCATGATTTTTAAAGGCAAACCCAGCTGTTATGATACCACTGCTGTCCACACGCACTACAGATCACAAAGGTCATTGAGTCGTCATCTGGTCCACTCTGTTTGACCCAAGCGGGCAGGAACAGGGCACCCCGTGATACCTGTGTCACTCTACAATCCATACTATCACATCTCTTACACCGGATCTTCTGAGTGGGCGTCCCTTCTATACTTTGAGGTAGCTGTCTTTCATTCACACTTTGAGATGAGTATTCTTGCCTTAACTGTTTTAAATCTGGACTTGCCATTTCTTCCGTCGACATTACAGCAAAAACTTGGGGTGATAGAGATCCGTTTAAAAGCCCCTCCCTAAGATGGCCGCTTTTGGGATTCTTCAGGTTAGAGATCTTGCTTCGGACACAATTTTTGTATTTGGGTATGTTTGATTTGTGTAATTCATAAATGTGGTTTTCAATGTCTTCAGTGAGTTTTAAAGCTTTGTCGTGGTCACTAGATTGCGTGCAAATGGCAGACAGAAGAAGCTGGACGCATTTAGATCGAACAGGTGATAAATTTGAAGAAAGGATTACATTTTCTGTCTTGGATTTATCTTCGTTTTGTTCCAGTGTGGGTTTAATCTCACTTTTTAACGCCAAATCAGTCTTTCCTGCATGCTCCAGCTTCACATCTTTTTCTTTGCTATATCCTTTTTTCCACTTTGCCAATATAGTCTTCAAATTCTTTTTCACATCGCTGTTTTTGCAGGATTTGAGGATTCGGTATAAAACTTTGACAATGTCTGTAGTTTCCAGTTGTTCGGCAGATACATGGTGCTTATCCAGGTCACCAAGAAGCACCAACATGTCGCTGTAGTTTCTCTCTGCATTAAATTTGTCAATTTGCAGAACACACTGGAGCACATCTTTAATCTCCATGATGCCTGCAAGAGAAAAGGTTTGCAATGTTGTTACAAATAGTGTACAAACAATGTATAATGAAATAAAACTCACTTAGATTTTCTAAATGACATATAAAGGTATATAACTATATAACCTTTCTGATGGAGGCTAGACTCCCTGCTTGTCTCCACTGAGATGTTATTTCTTCACCTGGAATGTTGCACAATATAGCATTAAAATTCTCTCTCTGGAGAAAAGGCCAAGTTACAGGCAGTGTTGGGAAGTAACTGACTTTTCTGAACTGCACAGAAAATACATATTTTGAATACTTATTTAGAGTAACTGTATTTTGCTACAGTTACTGTTTCACTTATCAAATCAAAATCAAATCAAACTTTATTTATAAAGCACTTTTCATACAAAATGCAACACAAAGTGCTTTACAGTGATTAAAAACAGTCCCGCATTTCCAACCACCCAACCATCCACCCACCAACCCAACCCCAGCACCCCCAACCCCACATAGTCAAACAACCCAAACACACACACTCACATACACACAAACATGCACACACACACACACACACACTCACACGCTAAAATACATAACCGGACACAATAAAATGTGAGGCTGAATACAGGCGAACCAGTTGAGAAAGCACCATCAGAGGAGCCGTCTGCACCGGGAGCAGAGAGACGTCCACCACCACCAGGAACCACCACAGGGTCCAGGGGAGAGATGAAGCCCAGGCACCTGAGGCCCAAGCACCATCCCTCCGCCAGGAGCCCACATGACAGACCCAGCAGCCACAGCTGACCTCCACTCCCGATGCAGAGGGCTCCTACAGAGGAAACACTGGAAATCCTAAAAAATATGCCTAAAATAAATAAATATAATAAAATGTGTACAATAAAAACAAGTAAAAGTATAACATTTCAATCAAAAGCTAAGCTAAAAAGGTGGGTCTTGAGCCTGCTCTTAAAAACATGAACGTTCTCTGCAGCCCTGAGCTCCTCCGGCAGGCAGTTCCATAGACGGGGGCCATAGTGCTGAAAAGACGCCTCTCCGTGAGTGTGTGTCCTGACTTTGGGAATGACCAGGAGCCTGCTGCCGGAGGAGCGCAGGGTCCGCGAGGGTTCGTAAGGTAAAAGCAGTTCTGAAAGATAAGAGGGCCCAAGACCATTAAGACATTTAAAGACCAGTAAAAGAACTTTAAAATCGATCCTGAAACACACAGGGAGCCAATGCAGTGATTTTAAAACCGGTGTAATGTGGTCCCGCCCTCTGGTCCTCGTCAGGACACGCGCTGCAGAATTTTGTAATAATTGCAAACCTGAAATACACTTTTTGGGAAGACCAGAGAGCAGGGCATTACAGTAGTCTATTCGACTGGTGATAAAAGCATGCATCAGCGTCTCTGTGTTGGCCCGAGAGAGAATGGGGCGGACTCTGGCTATGTTTTTTAGGTGCTAAAAAACAATTTTTGTGATGTTCTTAAAGTGTGGGACAAAAGTCAGCTCAGAGACAAAAATGATGCCCAGGTTTTTCACTTGAGGAGAAGGGTTAAAGGACTGTGTTTGGAATTTGGGTAAAAGTTTCTCTCTCTGGGCCTCAGGACCAATGAGAAGCAGTGCCACCTCCCCTTTTACCATTCCTGGTTGAAAGCAAAGTTAAAAGTGGGTGGTGAGGCCTCTGTGAGAACAACTGGTGCATCTGTACCCAGCCATGTTTCTGTTAAAAAGAAGCAGTCAAGTTTGTGTTCTAAAATCAAGTCATTTACAATAAAAGACTTGTTCAGCAGAGAGCAGACATTTAAAAGGGCCATGTTTAAGGTTATTGGGGACTGAGAAACTACAGGAATTTGTGGTAGATATGCTTTTTGAAGGGATCTGAGATTATTGATGTTGGCAGTAGTTTTATGAGAAGATTTATGCTGATGCCGCTCTCTGCTGATAATAACGGGAATTAACTTGGTGGTATTCAGTTACTTTCTTAAATTAAAAAGCAATACATAACGATACTTCACCATGCAATTTTGTCTTTGCATGGTATTAATGAGGAAAAAAACACAGCTTTTTCCAGTGCTTGAATGTGTGATTTTCCATCTCTAATTGGTCATTAGATAGAGTTAGTGCAGAACAAACAGTGCAACAAAAAGCAAGCTGTTTATAATGATGTCATTTTTTCACTATAAAATTCTACTCAGTGTACAAGTATTCTAAGCATTCTGAATACAATACTCTGATAGGACCATGCATCAGAATACATTACAAAAAACACATTTTAAATATAAGCTATGGGCTATTTGCAGGTCATACCAGTAGCATCGTTATAGAATATACATATGAATACTTAATATTAATAGCACATTAACGGTGAAGTATTGACGTTTATCTTATTTATATACCTGTAATCCATTATAGTTTCTTCACATACAAACGCAAACCGTCTTGAGGGGGGCAGCCATGTTGAATGTCCTAAAATAAAACAGAATAGACGTGATGCCAGCAGCCGCCACTAGATGGTGCTGACGCTCAACCATCCTCACAGACCTATGACTTTTCCACTCAAAGCGTGACATAATATTGTATTCTTACATCTTAAACCTTATTTACAGCAATTTAATGAGTAATGCTGACGTCATGCGTAAACCTGCATTTTTCTTTGGTTTAATATAGGCTAGTTAAGAGACTACAGTAGATAATATTGTATTGTTATTGTTATTTTTCACTATAAACGTGTGTAAGTTTGATGAGTTGAGGTGAGGTTCTTCCAGACAATTGCTTAGCTGTTGTTAATACCTGTCATCTCAAATTCAATAGAAGGCTTTGGGAGAAAATCCTAAATATGTCATGGGTGAGCTGAGGGAATTGTAGCCACGTTACTACAGTTACCTTTTAGTCAAGTGAAAACAAATTGGAGCTTTTGTTTCTAGCCGACGGGCTCGAACTTGTATGAATGGTGTACAAATGCAAAAATGAGGATGAAGGAAGGAGCCAACTTCGAACAAGCCGTAACAAGTCTGCAGGCCCTGTGATTGCAAAAGCAGAGCGAGGAGAAGTTAGAGGGTTTGACAGCTTTTGGTGACTGTAAATAACAATAATTACAACTATGTGAATGGGGAAATGCATATAACCTGACATTTAAAGCAGATAGAGATTTAGATAAGAGACAGCTCAACAGCCCTACAATGGGGAAATTTCAGAGTTGCAACAGCTAAGTACAGGAAGTGCAGAAAAAGAATAAGAATGAAAAGCTGTCCTATATGTGGAGCCCTGCTTACAGTAAGAATACATGTTTTTTAAGGTGTATTGGAGGAGTAAAAACACCCTAATGAAATGACTGTTAGATAGATAGGTATAAGGCCATATTTTGGATCATTCCTGGCAAAGCAATAATGTCTTGATGGAGACCCCCGCCCAACCAGAAAAGTTACACTGTGCATCTTTAAGTAAAAAAATAAAAATGCATTTGAACAAACAAAAGCTATTATCTACAATGACGGTGTACACGGTATATGTTTATGATAGGGATGCACCGATACGATACTGGTATAAGATATCTGCACCGATACTGAGATTTTTGATGGATTGTATATTGGTAGTCAGTATTTGGTCTGTTTTTGGGTGAATTAAGATGATTGATAAGATGATGAACACCTAATATAGAACTTGCATTTTGGATATTTGGATACATTTTTACCATACTTCATTTGTGTTAAATGAAATTTATTACTATATGAGATGCTTAAAGGCAAAATATGAACATTGGTATCAGAAGAGGTGCATTCCTGGTTGGATAAATACTGAAGCTGTATGAAATAAAAGTATTGCACCTAAAAGTGAAAATTTTGCTTAGATCTTAGTCATCGGATACTTTTAGAAGGCTGTAATCTTTGACCTGTAGTGGAAACAGAGTGCTGCCAAATTGCTCTGTGCAATTACACCTAACTGTCTAATGTGTTGCTCTGCAGGGACATTTGTTGCCTGTGCACACACCCACATCATCTTGTCTATTTAAAAAACATAAACAGAAAAGAGTTTCGTTTTGTATCCTGGATCAGCTTAAAAACAAGAATAAAACTAAAAACGCTGTGCTAAAGTCTAGTCCTTTATTGAGGCCTCTAAGGAAGTCACAAGAGAGGTCAAAGGTCATGTTAGCCTTTAGAAACAGATACAACTAATGCAAATTTCTACTTGAGCCTTATTCAATTACAAAATCATGAGAAGTGTTTTGAGTACGTAAATAACGATTATACACTATAAAACCAACTATATAAATCTGTAAAACTTTTCTGTTGTAAATTTCACTTCAAAAGCCACTTAATAACATTATCATAATTCCACACAAGCTTATGAAGCCCAGGATTATTCATGCTTTACTATATTGTTCATAAATAACAGAGCAGTCTGCTTCTATTGGCTGGTTATGTAATCAATGTAGAACCCCGCCCTGCTAGAGTTACATTAAAATGAGCTTTTAAGATGGATGCAGATGGGGCCATAGTCTGGGAGCCTCATCTGAGAGCAAATTACATTAAGTCTTCCCTGTTTCAAGTTTTTTAAAATCACCATAATAGAAGTTGAAGCTCATAAAAATGTGAAGAATGCGCAGTGTGGTAGGTGCAAGATCCGGCATGCCTTCTTTTTGTTTGGGTGCTGGAGACTGTAGTGGACCATGTGACTTTTTCGAGACAGCAGGGTCCCTCACTCCAAACTGTGTGAAAAGGGTGGGGTCGCTCCTCTCCCTTTTCCTCCTTCAAACACATGAAACAAAATCAGACTGCGAAATTCAACTTCCACTCTGACTTTCCATCATTTTCACATAGGCCTCGATCCTAAACTCATTCTCGAATCTTATCAACTAATTCCTTTACTAAACATACCAGTCAGTTCCTTCTTTCTCCTTCTTTCTTATCACGAATGGAATTTTACCAGCACTTCAGCTTTGATACTGTTCTGTCCGTTAGGTGGCGCCCTTGTCTATGCACATTGTACTTCATTCATTTGCTGTCTCACATCCTGCTTTTGTTTTGGCCCCGCCCCCTGTTAGCCGGACCACGCCACCTACCCCCTCCTCCTCCCATGCATGAGCGCACACAGAAGCACACCCGCACACACAGACAGTCACCCCACCCCGCCTTGTTGTCTTGAGAAATCTTACCGGGGGCTTTCTTGTGAAAATGATCTTGTTCATGCATTGACATTCATGGTAACATAGGCCTAGATGCTGCCTTGCTTGCACAATATGTACACATGTATTTTTCTCTTTGATGAGCTAACATTTGATAAACCATACCTCACTCTCATACCTACTGCAACCTTGAGGTGATTTCACATAACCAGAGCAGCATTTGTTTTCTTTTGTGAAGGGGAATCTTCCAGGGAGGAGTTGAAAGCAAAAAAGGTCACATATTTGGCAGCTAGCAACCTGGAGGAGGAAATAAACCCAGATATTGGATGGATAAGTGATACAGCAAATTCTATTAAACCTGGAATTCAATATAGGTTATCTATCCGGTCGGTTATATTTAAACCCATTTCAGTATTTGACGAAAACTATTTTGTTGTGCAAGCTGTTTACTATAGAAATCTATTTTTATCTTGACATTTGCAGGCTGTAACAGGTACAGAAAGAAATAATTCAAATACTTTTCCATAACTGTTATGTTTTGCATCAGTGATTTGTTTATTTACCACAAAGGCTACATCAGTCTGATTTTCATATCCATATCATTATAACAAGAAATGATAATAGTAGAGAGTAGTAATCATTTCCAAGTTACCAAATGTATTTGCCTATATATGACCAGAGTTAGGGCGTACTCAATGTGTGAAATGAAGCTTAAAGGGCCCATAATGTGGTTTTCTTGACCAAAACATACCTGGAGTTGTGGTTTGTTTCATTCACATATGTTTAAATAAATATAAACCCTGCAGTTCTTCTCTCAAACTGAAAAAGCTCTATTCCACTTTTTGATATCATGGAGTAACACAGGAAGTACTCCACTGTATTTTAAAACTCCACACACCTTCTCTAGAATAATTTTGATAATTTCAGCCCCGGAATTGCTCATCTCTATGGAAGTAAAGGTGAAAGGTAGCTGTTAACTTGAAAACTACTGCTTGATGACAACCACAGGGTGGAACAGAGCATTTAGAGTTTTGGAGACAGACTATTATTGCAGGATTCTTCAAACATGTGTGAATGAAACAAAACACAAAACCAGTTATGTTTTTAAGGCAACAACATTCAAACATGCCTTAAAGCTCACAAGAGTCAGTTTTAGATAATGACCTTTAAAGCGAGGTTACTTGATACCAAAAGTGTAACAACCACTGCGCTACATGCTCAAAGAGTAGGCTATACATTCTTTATTGTATTTTGTATCTACCCAACTTTGATGCTAAAGCGATTCAAATTCTGTCACCATATGTTACAAATTTAAATCCAATGAATCTCAACAACTGTTTTCCCCACCCCGGGATGCTTACCCGTTGAACACGTGCACGGCCTTATGGGAAATCCCGGGTCAGAGATGCACACATAGCTTCCCACAGAGAGGCAGGGGCCGAGGGGCAGTTGTGGTCCATCGGCTGGGCTCCTGTGTAATGTGATCACAGGGGAGGGCCAGGGTAATCTGTAAAATGTGCACAGGTGTCAGCAGTGGATTAGAGCTCAAATAATCCAAATTATTGTTCAAGACCGAGGTTTAAGGATAACAGGATTGGCTGCAGTCATTATTATAGCAATCACAATAGTAGTTTAACAGTGATATAATGTTACCATAGCTAGTGTGGTATTTTTAAGCCTTACTTATGTTTGGACATTTCATCCACATTGCCCAGTGTTGTTCCAATACTAAAATTTCAACCTTGATTTCGATACTAAGGAATAGACACAATACTTAATACTGATTCTGATACCACAATAATAAAAAAAAAAAAAACATTCTTTCTTTAAATAATAGAATGTAATTTTTAAGGTTTAAATAATAGTACTTTCTTTTATATTACCATGTGGTGTTATATCTGTGTAATTCCTCAGATGTCCAAGTAGGTTCCATAGTGGTCTATGGACATATACCAGTCTATGTTGTCCTATACTTGTTCTGATATGGCTCAAGTTCATTCTAAAGCTGTTCAAAAAAGGTTAATTTCAGTCCTTTTTTAGACTTTCCTTTTTATCGATACCTGCTCAATGAGTATCTAGTTTCTATACAAGTTAGTATCAATTAGTATCTGATTTTTGATAATTTTGACTATTGCCCACTTTGCAATATTGTGTAATTATTAAACAAAATATGTTGGAAAAATAAAACAAAATGAGAGGTTTATTTATGACTTACAAGACTCTGGTGTCTCATGTGGTTATGGTAACAACACATTACCCTTCAAATCAATCACGCAAGTTTTGTTTAATTTAATTTCACCATTATTTATCCCTTATGTTTCTAATCCTAATGTCTCAAGTGTAAACTCCATAAGTTGTGAATCATTTGGTGCTTTGATGATGTTGGCATTACAGTATTAACAATAATACTTAATGGGCTGTGTGTTTGCAATAAGCCTCATTTATTGCAGGGCGTTGCACATGAGGCAGTAAATGTTATGGTATGTTGCGCTGGTTTATGCTGCTAAAATATGTAGGCTAAACTATTTTCCCAGTAAAACCCATAGCGTATAGAGGCCTATATATAATCTTAATAACTAGGTTAAACTTCTACCTGTGACGACACTGAGGTGTGTTCAGGTACATCAAGATAAGAGGAGAATAGAGCTTTTGTTTGTTGAGGCAGCACCCAGTGTAAATGACCAGTTTAATTTCACTCTTGTGCTGAGAGTGGATTATCTTATCTAATACTACAACAGTGAGACGTGTAGGTATATGCGTACCCAGGTAACAACACTGATATTGATACCTGTGTTTGGAAAATGGTCCAGAAAAATGTGCTTATCAGGAATCAGTCGAGAATATTGGTGAAAAATTTGGCCAATTGAATTATGAATGAAAATGTAATTTACTGGTCACTATTAGTATTAGTAGTGGCTAGTTATAGATTTTACAGCTCCTGCAGTTACTAATAAAAGGCAAATTTTTAGTATAGACTACTGGAACCATTTTGTTTGAATATCGGTATCAAGTAACAATAGACAATCAAAACCCAAGTAATATCTTTCCTGGGATCCAGAATACACACTTACTTACTTGTAATACTTTACAAAAATGTGAGTCTGGCCACCACTGAATCTTCCTGTTTTCAATTGGGCCAATCAGGGACACACATGGTCACTCTGTATTGGAAAAAATAAAAGAAAAAAATATCACAGAGGACTGAAAAACATCTGCATTGTGGATTTCGGCAGAATCAATAAGCAAAGCACTAAACTAAACCAAATTAGACTTTATTTGTAAATCTTAGGTGACCAATGAGCTCCTTTGGTTCACATGCATCACTGAAAACAAAAGCAAATGTAATTGCACAATCACATTTGGCGGGTCTTGAGATGCAACAGAGGCCATGGGGACCAGGCTGATATTAATCTGTATAAGAAACACAAAGAGAGATCATTCTGGGTTAATAACATACATTAAATTAATGCCATGACTGGAGAGCTGTTATGGACATGCAGTCCTTCCTACCACATAACAGATCATTTCATACACCTGAAAATTGCAATGTGACTCAATTTACAACTAAACAAAACACTGCTCAGAGGAAGCAGCTCCTGCACTTGTTGTACTGTGTGATTGTTGATCTCTTTATTTCCTTTTTAAACAAATTGGAATTTCCCTGTACACACTGAACAGGACAGAGGCAGCATGTACTGTCCTCTGCACATGTTTTCCCCCCTCGCCCCCTCCCCTTTTTGATAATTTCCGTTGGTCGAATTCCAGATACCCCACAGTTAAGAGTCATACGCTCGGATATTGCACTACACTGTCTAACGCCATCTACCTTAGCATCTGATAAAATTTCCTGCAACCATACTTGATTAATTGCTTTTATCAATATGTGAACAACGCTTTTGCTACGCAGTTAGCAAGTCAAAAACTGATGCAAATGGCGTAGCTTGTTGATGACAGAAGTGCGAAAATGTGCCTTGCGGACGCTAACTGGACAAGAGCCATAGGAATGTACACGTGCAGGATTGGAGACATTGTCAGATTCCAGCCAAAAAAGACTAGCTATAAAACTCCAACTATTTTCACAAAGAAGCAAGCTCTGCTGTATTTACCAAAGCAATGAGAGCTGTGAAGATAGAGGTGTCAAAAAGGGTGAGATGGTGGCGATTTATCTGCAGAAAATAAAAACAAAACAAAGTGCTGGCTGGCATCCCCTGCTTAAGTACCATCTTTTCTTAGCTGACTGTGTAAACTAATCATTCTTGTCAATCGATAAAGATCTTAGTGAAATTATCTTTACACTGGCACACTCAAAATCACTGTTATCGCTAAATCTTGTTTGCGGGATGCTTTGGTTTCTGCTGTCTAATCCTCTCATCAGCAGCTCTAGTGGCTAATCTAGTTTAATCCATCCAAATTATTGGAGCGTGGTGTCAAAGGTCGAACAGAGTCCTCCAAACATGTCCAGCTATGCATCAGTGGGCATAACATAGTGCTCCCCATATGGTTTTGGCAACTGCGGCTAACACTTAACCTTTGCACCTGGGAACATGTGTTGCTTGGAAACCACAACTCAAAATAAAGTTGGAGCTAATTCAACCAGGAAGAAAGCTGTCAGCCAATCACAGCCTGCCACACGCTCGCTCTATTCAGGCTTAGGCCACAAACCAGGAAGATGTTTGGAAATATGCGATGACAACTTCCGGCAGGCTCTGTTCACCGTAATAAGTCTGACAAAATCTAAGAAAAATTTGAAAATGTACCAGCTTTCTTCATCTATATGTCATTGTAGCGTTCGGTTATGTTCGGCTAATCAACAATTACAACCATACCTCAGTTTTCATCATTTCTCCACTGACACAAGAGATGAGCCATATTTCAAGATTATTTCCAATTATTTCCGAGCACAATGTCAGTAATTACATCGGAAGTTTTCATCGCATGTTTCTAAACGTCTTCTTGGATTGTGACGTAAGCGTGAATAGAGCCTCTTCTCAAACCTTTAATTTAAATGCACTCTCTCTTCTCTACATTTTCAGAATCAAGAGTCAGCTTTATTCCATCTATGCCAACAACCGCTGCAGTAGAACTGTTCGCCTCTTCAGTGCCAACATTTATCCAGTCAGGTGCCATTTCCTTTACTAAGATGAAAGCTAGTTTACAATAAGGCTCGCTAACATCATGTGTAAAACATCAGCCATTTCTCTACACTGGCCTTTGAAACAGCTTCAGTTGATGTGAGGTAAGCCACATAACTTCCTGGTATTGAGTCAACGTGTCTCAATTTTCAGAGGGAAGTACAAAGTTAAAAAAAAAACCAAAAAAAAAAAACACTTTAACTTTATTGTGAGTGCTCCCTGCTAAGAGGAAGTGGCAGAAAACAGGAAGAGGAAAGCCAGATGTAGTGTTATGCTTCATAGATAAGTACGTTATGATGTCAAAAGTTAATATGGATTGTGCTTGCAGAACCATAGCTTGTAAATATCACTTGTATTGGCTTTAAAATGTACTTGGTTTGGTTGTTGGCTGTTTAATTCTGTTTACATGCAAATTTTATCTGCACAATTGCAATATATCTTTAATAGTACTATTTACTGCTACTATTACTGCTACTTACGTACCCCTATACTGAGTAAATATACCGTTCCACTGCCAGTATTGCTTTTATACTTCTATTGCTATAGAAGTATGACAGCATAAGATCAATAATAGGCTATTCTTATATCCATCAAACAAAATAACAAAAATATACACAATTGAATTACTTATGGGGCATAGGGGAAAACAGGAAATCTCAGAGCAATCTCATATTGATTGCAGCAGAATAAAGACTACGCAATACCCATAATTCTAATATGTCAGTCACAAAGCCTGAAGTTTTCCATTTAAGGTCACAAATACAAAAATTGCCTAACACGTCTTAAAACACCATCCCCTAAATGAGCCTGGGACTATTTTTTCCCATATGTGAATATTCAGCAGCTATTGGGTTAACTCCAATAGTGGCGGGCCTTGATACACTGCAGCTGTGGTCAGGCCCAGAACAGGGAAATGTTTTCTCCATGTGGTGTAAAGGTCCACCATCGCTCTGGCTCCTCTGACACGCTTACATAACTCTGAACATGTGGAGGAAAAATCGTGGGGGGAAAAAAAGAAAAACATAAAATGAGGCAAAAACAGTTGATGATGTCAGAGAAGAGGAAAAAGGTCAACAACTACGGAATCACTTTACATGTATCCAGAGGTATTCGGAGAGAGGGATTTTGTAGCGAATAAGGCCTTATTTGGCAACCCAGGACAAAAAAGGAGAAAATGAAGAAAGGTGTGTCCATAGTGCAAATTCCACATAAGGGTTTTATCAAAGTAGGACTAATGACGTCAAGTCTTATCCGTACGACTACAAACAACAAGAACGCATGCTCTGGAATGACTTCTTGAAATGGGACAATTAACCTACTTTATGCAAATGAAAATAACCTATGTGATAAGATAGGCTTGTTGCAGTTACATCTGAGACTAATAGCTACAATGATATACTATTGTATACATTCGTTATATTTTGTACAAAACAGTTCTATAGGATACAAATTCATTAAGTATCCACTAGTTTGGTAGCCTTAGAGGGACATTGTGTTCCTAATGCATAAACCTTGCAGAAATAGGTCAGGCGATACATTCTCATAAAAAATTTAGTGACAAAATCATTTTAAACATGCCGAAAAGGCTCCTCTATCCTCCACCAAAGCTCATTTTGTCCACACTATAATCTTACTATTGGAGATTTGTTATTAGCCTCAATGTAACTGCAATAAGCCTATCTTATCAAATTGGTTATTTTAAAGCTGGTATATGTATGCAAAAATATGTTGGGTCCATGTACACAACAAGAGGCTTTTTATTTTTGTTGGTTTGTATTTCAAGTGATTGAATAGGTTTGCAATCCATCAGAAATATGAGGAAAGAACTATAGGTGAAAAAATTTGGCTTGCAGCTATGATCCTTCATTGAAGTGCCTTGAGCTATATTGTTGAAATACAATAGAGTAACAACATTACATCACCCACACAACAAAGGCCAAACAAAGTGGCTTCCTGGTTCTTACTGCACAGGGTTAAAAGGCGATAAATCAGGCTAAAATGACAGATAGAGGCCAGAAATTGAACCGTAATGGCCTCCTTTGTGTACCCTCATCATTTGAATGTAAGAAAGACCCCTCACATCTGACAAAACAGGAAATCAAACAGACACCTCCTTGTCTACCCAGCGCACACACATGGCAGAAATAGCCGCCCCCACCACTATCAAGCCAGGGTCATGCGCTTCCTGTCTTTCAGCAAGGGATTCTGGGTACTGACCTGACAGGGTGAGAAATCCCGCCTCATGGAACGCAGCAGGAAGTAAGAGCTCCCACTTCCTCCTCTGCAGTGGCGAATGCAGAAGTGGAAAGGTTGCTCTCAGTTCTCCATCACCGTCTTCCTCTAATGATGAAGACTCAGATGATCGGGTGAATTGTCCTTATGTAACAAACACATTCAACATTGGCAGTTAATCGCTAAACAAATGGATTTATCGTTGCATATTTGTACTGATTTTGTAGTTTTGTGGTCAACACTTAGCATAAGCTGATAGGATTAGCAAAAACAACACTACATGGATAAATCAATTAAGATTAGCAGAGAAATACTTTAATTTGGGATGTGTTGTACTGTCTTGGACCACTAGATGGAGTGGAGAGCTTTTTCGAACGTCATTGCCTGAAATGAAATAAGCATTCTCTTGTAAACTGTAAATTTTATAGCAAAATTGAATTTGAAAATTAAGTTTTTAGGTATTGATGTTATAAAGAATCTAATTACAAGCAAATTAAATTCCCTTTTCCACAAGTAATCTGATTATTTGGTTGTATTGCACTTGGGAAGTTGGACTTCACATAATATCCTACCATTAATGGTGCACTGTGTAACTTTTCCAGTAGAGTGTCCACCACCTGCTTGAGTCCATGTAAAAGTGTTTTTCCTGGAAAAAACAGGACAGCATTTAATTTTGCTCCATGGAGACAAGCAAGGCTCATCAGAAGGCCAAGTTACAGGTCAGATCTGTGGAGAAGTGGGCCCACTCACAGTAATAATGCATGTTTTTACTGTTGTTTTGAGAGATAAGAACTTAAAAGCAATTGAATAAGATATATTTGTTTACCGCTATAATGTGTAACCTCCCAGGCAAAGCAAAAAGATCACCATGGAGACAAGCTGATATGCAGACCCTCCATCAGAAAGGTTGCGCAGTTGACCTTTAATAATGACCAAATCTCAAAACTGTATTATTAAACAGTTGGTTGGAAAAACAATACAATAACACTAACATTTTTACTAGCCTGGAGAAATAAATGGTTGCACACCACACACATGGTTACGGTGCTCTATCATCATCAGACCCCCTCCCACATTCCTGTCCTCCTCCTCCTCTCTGCACCAAAAACAGTCACTTTTAGCTCAGGGGTGAAGAACGAAAAAAGGGAAAAAGTTCCTGAGATGGCGGTGTGCGTGTTTGTCCTTGTATTGGCTAGTTTTGGGAAGGTTTCACTACAAGAGAGGAAGGCACAACCCACATTCTTTACACATGACTTCACCACTCAAACTAAACAAAGTGTATGCTAATTCAGGTAATGTGGAAAAATGAGTACTTTAGCTAAACCCTTCAGTCTTTCTCTTTTAATTTGGTAATCACTGACAGATGTTGTAATCAGTTACATTTCGTCACATTTACGCAAGTTACTTTTTGATTAAATTGTAATAGTACTACTCTCACACCATATCTACGTAGTACTCCAAGTAGTAGTAGTAAAGGTTTCGGTTATTGTTTCCACCGCAAGTAAGTTTAAGTAACAGACAAAAACTTCATGTTGACAAATCCAGTGTTATATCCAGTTATAGTACTCCACGTAGTAGTAACAGTAGTAGTAGTAGTAGTAATAAAAGTTTTCGTTACTATTCCCACTGTAAATAAGTTTAAGTAAGAGACAAAAACTTCATGTTGAGAAATGCCACGTCCAAACGGTTATTCAGTTAACTAACCTTTTTACTCTTACTTGTTTAACTATTTTAGGGTCACTACTTTTCACCTCTAGTTGAGTAATATTTCTACTTGGGTACAATTTGGGTACATTTCTTGAGCTTCTTTACATAGCACAGCTTTTTTTGATCTGCATGTTCCATTATTGAAAAATTATTTGCTAAAGATAAATGCTTTTTTACTCATACCTGAGTAACTATTTAGGGCCACTACGTTTCACTTATAAAGGAAAGGCAAGGCAAGGCAAGGCAAGGCAAGTTTATTTGTATAGCACAATTCATACACAAAGTAATTAAAGTCCTTTACAGAATAAGAAATACATTAAAATCATAATTTAAAAAAAAAAAGGCACAACTTCTGTAAATTTTTTGGCTTCGCTACATAGAAAATTACAATCGCAAATCCTGATGTACTTTACTTGACTCGCATGTTCCGTTATCAAAGAATTATTTGCTAAAGATAAGTGCTTTTTTACTCTTACCTGAGTTACTATTTAGGGTCCCTACTTTTCACTTCTACTTGAGTAATTTAAAGGTACAACTTGAGTACATTTTTGGCTTCTCTACACAGTAAATTTAAATTGCAAATCCTGTTGTACTTTACTAGACTCCCTTGTTCTGTTATCAAAGAATTATTTACTAAAGATAAAGCGCTGAGTCGGAAAAGTCTAGCCAGGAAAATTGGAACTTGCCTCTTTGTCCTAATATGGCTAAAAGCTGGCACTTAGCAATCTGAGAGGGATGAGGTAGGAGTGACATATCTGAGCTGGCGGTTCTGAGTTCGAGAGGAAAGGAGGTCATTTTAGACGCCTACATTGTGGAAACTCAACGGCACTAGTGGCTATTTGATATGTCAGAGGAGTACATAAGTATATTATATAGGCAAAAAAGAACAGGAAATGAAAAAATATTATATCTGTGTAAATGTAATGTAATATTTGTAAATGTAGTCTTCGGATATTGATAACTAAAAGCACTGCTCTGTTAGAAGAACTGTTATGCAAATATACTTTAATATGAGCTTTATTTTTTGGTCACAGACTCCTGAAAATGGGTTGTTTAAATCCATTTTGTATTTTTTACTTGACTATCTTCTAAATTTTTTGCCTGTGTATCACCATGATAACTGCTGAACATTCCACCAATAGAGATGCATGTAGAACACTCCCAGTATGAG